TTCCCAACCAGTCCCCTCCAACCCTCCAGAGAGGGGAGAGGGGCTGGATATGGAGTTAATTATTGATCATGCCTACATGAGGAAGCCTTCACAAAATCCCGGAAGTATGAGGGTTCTGGGAATTTCCAGGTAGATGAACTCCTCCACACTGGGAGGGTGACCCTATCCCAACCCACAGGGACAGAAGCACCTGCACTCAGGACACTGCCAGACCTCACTCTATGTATTTCTTCATCTGGCTGTTCATCTGTATCCTTTATCATATCCTTTAATAAACTGGTAAACATAAATGTTTCCCTGAGTTCTGTGAGCCACTCTACCAAAGTAAGGGAAACCTGGAAAGGAGCCAGGGGAACCCCTGATTTGTAGCCATGTTGGACAGAAGTTTTGGGTAACCTGGGGACCTACTACTTGCAATTTGGCATCTGAAGGGAGGGCAGTGTTGTGGAACTGAGCCCTTAACCTGTGGGAACCTCCAGATAGGTAATGTCCGAACTGAGTTAAACTCTGGGACCCCCAGCTGATGTCACAGAATTGGTTGGTGTGAGGCAAGTTCCCACACATCTGTTGTCAGAAGTGTGTGTGTGCAGTCACATGACAGGAAAGGAGACACTCTGGAGGGAAAGGATGGGGGATTTGTCCAACCCAATAAGCCAAGAAGGAGAAAAAAAGGTCAAAGATGAATTAAAGGAGAAAAATACTTTTTTTCCACAAAGAAGAAAATAAATCCAGGAGGCCTAGGATTTCAATAATAAGAATTCCTTAGAGAAAATGAAGGGAAATAAATCAAAGAAATAACACAAGAAAATCACCCAGAACCAGAAATGAGTTTCCAGACTGAAAATGAATATAAATGACCCTCACACTAGGGTAAATCATTACAAAATTACAGAATACCAGGGGAAAAAGGAGCTACTAAAACATTTTCAGGGAAAGCGGGATAAAGCCCTTATGTATAAGGAATGAAATTCAGATTGCCTTGGATTTCTCAGGAACCAACACTCAAAGGTAGAATAGCAATGCCTTCACAATTCTGAAGGAAAATTATTTCTAATTTGGAATACTTATTAGAAAATTACAAGGTAGGTGTGAGGGCTCAATAAAGATAGTTTCAGACATGCAATGACCTGAGCATGCATCTTCTCTTGGGAAGCCACTAAATAATACGCTCCGTCAAAACAAAGAAATAAAACAAGAACATAGAAGATAGGAGACCCAGAAATCAGGAGACCCAACATAGGAAAGCAAATAAGAGCAATTCCCCAGATGACCTTAAAACAGCGAGCCTCATCCTAGGCTGCACATTAGAATTACCTGGGGAGTTGTAAAAGCCCTGAGGCCCAGGCCACAATACAGCAGGATCTCGGAGGGTAAGACCCAGGCATCAGTGAATTTTAAAGCCCCTCAGGTGATTCCCATGTGTAGATGAGGTTGAGAACCATTGGGTGAAAGGAAACTCCCAGAACAGCAGCTGTGAAGGAGCCCAAATGAACAACCAGCCCAGGTTAAGGCAGAAGACTGCTACAAAAAAGGCTGTTTCCTGGAGGGAAAGGAACCCGAAACTGACGAGTTGTCTCACAGGCACAAAATGGAAAATTTTGTGGAAATTTGCATCAGAGACACTTGGTAGAACAGTCACAAAATCTGAAGGAAGGCATTCAAATAAATGTTCAGAGGAAACTAGACCAATGTTAGCAAAATTTTTGAAAACTTGTAAAAGAAAAAATGTAAAGTATACTAACTAGCTTGGCAGTGAGAAAAAAATTTATGTAGTCATAGTAAGAGAAAGCGTGAAATACTGAATAGTTTTATATTAGGAGAATGGAGGGGAACGAAAAATTAACAAAATCTAAACTTGATTAGTCAAGCAATAGCAATATATACATTGGGTAGATGAATCCAAATAACAAACAGCTAGGAGAGTGTGGTGGGGAGAATAGTGGCCCCCCCAAAGACGTCCACGTCCCAATGCCTGGAAGCTGTGAATGTCACCTTACATAGCAAAAGGGATTTTGCCGAAATTGAGGATTCTGAGATAGAAGAGGATCCTGGATGATCCAGGTGAGCCCAATGTAATCACAAGGGTCCTTACAGATGGAAGGCAAGAAAGTCAAAGGGAAGTGATGGGAGGATGAAAGCAGAGGGTAGATGCAGCCACATGCTGAGGGGCCAGAGTGTTGACAGCCAAAGGGAAGCTAGAAGAGGCAAGGCAAGGGATCCTCCCAGCCCCCACCTAGAGCCTCCAGGAGAAGCCAGCCCTGCTGACACCCTGATTTTAGCCCCTTCATACTCAATGCTGACTTCTGACCTCCAGATCTGTAATGGAACAAATCTGTGCATCTTAAGCCACTAAGTTTGCAGTAATTTGTTACAGCAGCAATGGGAAATTTTTTTATAGAGGCATAACTGACACATTATATTAGTTTCAGGTGTACAACATAATGATTCAATGTTTGTGTATATTGCAAAATGATCACCTCAATGAGCCTAGTTAATATCTGTCACCATACATAGTTACAAAATGTGTTCCTTGTGACTAGAACTTTTTTTTAAAGATTTTATTTATTTATTTGACAAAGAGAGACACAGTGAGAGAGGGAACACAAGCAGGGGGAGTGGGAGAGGGAGAAGCAGGCTTCCCAGCGAGCAGGGAGCCCGGTGCGGGGCTCGATCCCAAGATCCTGGGATCACGACCCGAGCCGAAGGCAGACGCTTAACAACTGAGCCACCCAAGATCTCTCTTAGCAACTTTCAAATACACAGTCGAGTGTTGTTAACTAGAGTCACATGCTGTGCCTTACATCCCCAGGACTTATTTTATAAGTAATGGGAAATTAATGCAAGGAGTTTAAAATATTGGGAGTGGGAATGAGGTGAAAAGGGTGCAAGGGACACAGGTCTTTCTTTAAGTGTTGACTTTTTTTTATTATGTTCAGTTAGCCACTGTATAGTACATCATTAGTTTTTGATATAGTGTTCAGTGATTCATTAGTTACATATAACACCCAGTGCACATCACAACACATGCCCACCTTAATACCCATCACCCTGTTGACTTTTTATTTATTTTTTTTAAGATTTTATTTATTTATCAGAGAGATAGAGCACAAGCAGGGGGAGTGGCAGGCAGAGGGAGAGGAAGAAGCAGGCTCCCCGCTGAGCAGGGAGCCCGATGTGGGACTCGATCCCACGACCTTGGGATCATGACCTGAGCTGAAGGCAGTCGCTTAACCGACTGAGCCACCCAGGTACCCCATCCTGTTGACTTTTTAAAAACATGTGACACATGGATAAAAGTTAAACCAAACTGCTCTAGGGCTTCTAAGGAGCGGAAGTGAGAGGAAATGGCTGGAAAGGCATGAGTTATAGAGCAGCGCCCCCCCAAACATTAATGTGTACACAAGTCGCCACAGACTATGTTACAATGCAGCTTCTTATTCAGGTCTGGAGTAGAGCCTGAGATTTGTCTATACCTCTGTAGGCTCCCAGGTGATGCCCGTGCTACTGGGCCACAGACCCCCACTTGGAGTAGCAGAGACCTAGAGTCTATGTAGAGAAAGGTATCATGCAGGGAGTGAGGAGGGCAGAGGGCAGAAAGGGCTTTGAGCTTAAGCTAAAGCATTTTGACTTTATCTTTGAAGATACAGGGAGCCACTGGGCAGTGGAACCACAGAATGAGATTTTTTACATTATTCTTCTCTGTAGAAGAGGAGGCAAGAGGCAACAAAGTGGACTGGAAACCATTTAGTGTATAACCAGAAATATTCAGTGTTAATGATTAGGGAAGGCATGATGATGCTGGGACTTCTGACTACACACACACACACACATACACACACACACACACACACACACTACAGAGAACTGTATCAATCCATGTGTAAGTAAACACTGCATCGTTTGTCTGAAGTTCTCTTATGTATCACTTAAAGGAATTTTCTTGTAGTCTTGATGGAATTACATAGTATTTATTAAATTCCCATCTGCCCATGGAAAATCTACATTTAAATAAGTGTGATAAGAACAATTGTCTCAGAAAAGTTGCATTATGTTAAAAATTTTTTTTAACTTGAAACCTTGCAGCTCATCACACCCCATATAAATGGGTACCACACAGTGTTCACATTCCATACGTTGACAATAATTGAGGCAAACTGCTAGTGTCTTCTTTCCGCATCACAAAAAGTGCCCTGTATATGTGGGACGTTCCTAAAGTGTCAGAAATGGTTCTGCAGAGCATTCTCAGAGCCATTCTATGCATATGGATTAGACAGAATGAGAAGAGTACAATATGGGGGAAAAAAGTCACTTAAGTATATTGAACACCAACAAATTATTAATAAGTTTGGTGTTGAAAGGGGAGCAGCCATTGAATGCAGCTCATCAAGAACCATCCTGGGTCCAATGCTGCCCCTTATTTTCTGTTAATAGCTCTGAGGATCGTGTGACTAATGCAATAATCAATCCACAGAAAACACAGCTCTGGGAGAAATGACTCATGTTTTGGACAACAATATTAAAATTCAGGATGATCCTGTTAAATTGAAGAAACGAGCCAAAAATCAATTGAGCAGGCGCCCACAGTTCTGCCAGGTGTTTCAGACCATACGATTCAGGAAGCCCTCAACAGAATCAAGCCCATCCTGGCAGCCAAGCACCCAGTTGATAACGCTTCCAATTCCTGTCTTCCCTCCCATCCCTCCCAGCCACAGGATATCTTATATAAACATAAAAATTTGAAGGATAGAAAAATAGATGGATGACTAGATGAGATGAAAAGGCTTTTCAGAGGCTGAAAGGTGCCCATAATGTAGATAACAAAGTACAGCGTTGTTTTATAGCTGAAGAAAGCAACATTTGAGGTCAAAGTTTCAGATCAGGTCATCTGCCTTTAGTCCCAACAATCTACAATATAAGGACACTCTATGCCCTTAGTCTTCATTCACTCAATGCCTCTTTATAAAGTACCAGATGGCAACCCTGCATGACATTCCACTTACCCAAGCTGAAGACTGTGGGACACGAAGAGCAATTTGACGGGTACTTCTGTCTGGCAACTCTGCGTCCAGTCTGCTCAGGAACTCAGCAGTTTTGCTAGCAGGAACACAAATATGTGTTAGTGCCTTCATGGAAAATAGAAATATTATTTATTTTGCCTTTGGATACTAGCCTAGACTTTTATTGGCTGATGACTGAAAATCTCCTGAGCAGAGAACAAAAGGTGAGTTGAGAACAAGGTAGTATAGAAAACCAAAACAAAATGCTATTGCAAGACCACATTCTTGAAGAAAATTAGTTTGAAAAATATAAAATTGTCTGTGAAATGTGAACCTATGATTTCATATTTTCTACTTTGTGTACTTTGACATGGAGATAAATGCTCTCTCAGATTCCACAGTGTGGGGTCCTAACTTCCCTTTTGAGCATCTAAAGCTTGACACTCAGACGTCACGACAGAACTGTGTTACACTGCATCCCCTGTGACTTTCATTCCACACGGGTTTCACATGGCCCTTCACCTACTTTCTCCTCTCATTTCCCTCATGGCTTTGACTGCTCTCAGGATACATAGCCCCTCCAATGCAGTAATTCTTTACCACGTATGGATCATGGCCCACCTCCCCTTTGAGGCAATGGGCCCTCTCCCTCCACACAGACAGACCCACACACCTTTGCATTTGATTTGTACCTCCCATGGAAGTTAAGAAGTGCTGCTGGTCTGGCCTGCATTTCTGACATCTCTTTTTAGCTCAGAAAGATTGGCCTAGAAATATCCTCAGTTCTAATAAGAAGTTCTTTGATTTTTCCCTTAAAAACTCAAACCACTGGGGGCGCCTGGGTGGCTCAGTCGGTTAAGCATCTGACTCTTGGTTTTGGCTCAGGTCACGATCTCAGGAACATGAGATCCATCCCTGAGACGGGCTCTACACTCAGCGGGGAGTCTGCTTGAGATTCTCTCTGTCCCTCTCCCTTTCTCCCTCCCCCTGCCCTCTCTCTCTCTCTCTCTCTCTCTCAAAAAATAAATTTTTTTTAAAAGAAAAAAACACCCAAACCATCACCCCTCCTCTCCTCTATGTCAAGCAAAGCACACTAGAATTGTTTCCTAGCCCTTACTTCAATGACTTTCCCATGCTGCCCACCATTGATCTCTATTCCTTTGTCCTTTCCTCTTGTAATTTGTGGGATTTTTACCTCTTTATTTCACATTCACAACCAAATACCTCATGGAGGCCTAATTTATATCGCACCAGCCCCTTGCAGCCTGCTCTCTGTCTGCGTCCTTCCCTCAGTTACCCCTCTTCTTCCCCCTAATATTTTAGTCCTACTGCTAGGATCCAATTCATCAAGCACTTAGGATGTGGGCATCAAAGGAAACACAACTGGTCTGGTAAAAATAAATGGTATCCAGCGGAGGTAAAATCAAAACAAGGAATTCAAAATTAAACAGAGATGCCCACATCACTTCAAATAATTACTTAGATAGAACATGGCATTTGAACAAGGTCAGAAGCTTGAGTTAGGAAAGGAAGAGCAAAAAGTTAAGCGATGTACATAACCCTGAGAAACATAAGGCTTCAGCAGTTGAGACAAACAGCCTCTCCATTTGTCTAGGATTGCTTATCTTGCCCAGAGTAGACAAGGAGACTAATGAAGTCGCAGAGTCTGGAAGCTGCCCCACTGTCTGGGGCTTTATGAAGTCATCAGTCAAAAGTGTTAAAAGAAGAGAGTTGCCAGAAGTTGGAATGAGATTCCTGAATATCCTTAGTTGAGTTCAGACATAGGAAAAGCAGTGAAAAAGAAACACCATGATAACACAAGGAAGGAACTTCAGGCCAAATTGACCGGCAGCCCTGCATTGTGTGCTGACGGTTGCTTCTTAACTGCGGAGCCAACCACTAGCCATGGCCCTTCTGCCTATTATCACTGCCCCACTTATGCCACAGGATTAAATCATAACGACGGTCACAGGAATACAAGTATGGGTCTGTGCAGAATGCGGATTATTCCCCAAGATTAAGTACACAAACAAGCCAAGTTCCAAGCTACTAAACTAACTGGTATTTCTCTACTATTTGTACAGTGCCTCGGTATATACTCTAATTTCCATATATTGGTTAAACTGAATTGGGATCCTTATAGGCACCTGTGGTCATATTTAATAAAAATAAAATACACAACCTCCCTGAGGGCAAAAGTAGGAGAATTTCCTAGTGGGAAGTCCAACAAGACTAAGAAGCCCAGACTGCAGCACTGAGTCACCTTCCCCTTGGAGTTTCTTGCCCTTTGTCATCCTGTGACTTTGCCACCTATTGAGGGGATGATCCTGTTTTGCTTTATCACTCTAACCCAAGCGTCAATAGAGGACTCCTTCCTTTATTCTCCACAGAACTGATGAAAGGATTATCAATAACTCAGACTTGGTTTAGATTTAGTTCACTCATGTCCAGCTTAAGATCTTCAAGGGTCCTTCCTGCTTGTTTTTAGGGTGATTCCTATAGCTTATCCTAAAAGGTGTCTTCAGGATACCTCACTTCAATATAACCCAGTTGCAGCAGAGAATTGCTAAATGTCCAAATTCATGTTCTCCTCTGCTAGTCACACAACTTGACTATATCTCCTGGCCTCCCTTGCAGTTGAGGTTGGCCACAGGGTCGAGTCTTGACCCCGAACATGAAAGGGAGTGATGCATACCCCTTCCAGGACTAACTAATTATAAACTTCCCACACATGCTCCTCCACACGTTTTTCTCCTTCTGGCTGGCTGGAATAAAGATAACCCCCAGCACAAACTTGGATGTTGTATATTGAAGTTAGGGAAGCCTATATTGGCTTGGTGCCTGCCTATATGAGTAGAGGGGGCCTCCACTCAAACTTGTTCACCCATGCCTTAAATGAGGAAGAAGAAAACCCCATATTACTCAATCTATCTCTCTCTATATATATTTTAAAGTCTATTACAGCTCCTAGTGTACCCTCATAACACAACACAAAGAAATATATACAAGAGAATCATTTCTCAATTCAGGTGATCAATTCCAAAACTACAAGAGGCAGCCAAGAAGAGTTGAGGAAGAAGAGAAAAAAAGGATTCTCAAGGATTCAGCTAGGCAGCTTAGGTATTTCAGAACCTTAGTCGGGGAAGGGGAAGGTGGGAAAGGGGAAGAATCTGTTCATCCTTGAGCTTTGTCTTCCTGTCAGTTCTAGAAGCTACCTAGGCCCAGAGTATAAAAAAGTATGATAACCTTCCAGATGCTAGGGAGGGTGTCTTGCAAAACTGGTCCCTTTATAAATTGCTAATGGAAGGGAAAATTGATGTTACCGCTTCAGAGAGTATTTGACAATACTTGGTAGAGTTGAATATATGTATCATGTCTAGGTGCCTACTCTAGAGAAAATCTTGCATAGGTATTTAAAGACACCTGAACAGGGTCATTTAATCCAGCACCATTTGTAAGAGTCTCAGAGATGGAGAGAAGGAAGATAGAGGGAGCTGGGGGTGGGACAGGGGTGGAGGAGATGAGAATGGAAAGGAAGAAGGAAATGAACTAGATCTACATCAAGAATCAATATGGTTCAATTCCAAAAAACAGTATCCAGTGGGGGGAGGGGGGAGTTGTGAAAGTATGATACAGTGATCAAAATATCTGAAGGACACAAACAATAGTCTGAATATATGAGTAGAGGGGGTTGTGTGGTTTCATATATATGTAATAAAATTGGAAAAATGTACATGATGAGAAAAAGGAAAGCAGCCCAAAACATCTGGGAACTGTTCTGACACATCTACACCTCAATGTTATTACAAACTAATCTGACTAAGCCATGTTGTTCTACTAATGGACATAAATGATCCCACAGAGCATCCACTTCACACAAGTACATCTCACAAATTACCAAATATCCCCCATCTTGCTAAATGAATGGTGACTTCCTTACCAATTACAGCTTTATACTCATCTAGGCTGTCCTTCCTATGGGTAAGATTTATTGAGACACCCAAACATAGAATTGTCCCCACATGCTGACAATGCATAATCCAGAGCCATCCCCTGCTTCTTTAGACCCTTCCCAAAATTACCCAACCAAAACCTAAATCCCCATCAGTTATTCCTAGCAGCCTTACTGAGCTATCCCTCCATTTCTTATGGTGTGTTTTCTTTACCTGCAACAAGTAATAAAACACAGCATGTTCAACTACAGGTGTATCCCTGGTGGTCTTTGGCTGAAGGGCACTGACAAGTGTTACATACCAGAACAGCTGTTACTGCTAGGAGAATGACAGAGGGATGGGGGGGAAGAGTGAAAGGGTTCATTCATCTCCAGGCCATTTGAATTTCTTTTTAAAAACGAACCACATGTAAGCAAAATCTTAGGTATGACTTTAGTGGTTGATACATATTTTCTGTGATTTTGAAATGTTTCTCCAAAAGAGAAAAAGCATACACACCATTGTGGGGCATTCTGGGGAAAAGCTTTACACATGCCATTCTAGGTTCCTTTGAACAGTAATTTCCAAAATGCCAATAGGAAGACCTGTGTGAGGCTGGAACCATGAGAATCATCTATAGTGCTTCTCGGAAATTACTGTACTCAAGACTTGGACTTTCTAATTCAGCATACCTGGAGTAGGATCTGAGAATCTATGTTTCTCAAAAGCACCCCTGTTGATCTTGAGAACTACTATAGTCATACAGATGGATATTTAATATGCATAATTCTCTTAGGTCCATGTGATTCTGACTTAAGATTAAATCATGCTATAACACTCATTTGAAAACAAAACCTCAGTGTGTCTTAGGAGCCCTTCTATATGAGTACTATCTAACAATACATTCTTCCTGTCTTTCACAATAACTTCACAAACCTGAACTTCCCCATCGTGAAGGTTAGGTGATCAAGTAATCATTCTTACATTCACACATGCATTTGTGCAGGCAACAGATACTTCTTTAGTCTCTGCTTTGTGCTTAGCAATATGGGTTATCAGATAAACTGAACAGATACTGTTTTGCCTGAGTTAGTTTCATGTAAGTGGGTGTGAACAAAAACCATTCATACAATTGTAAGCACTCAGAGCTAAATCAGTAGGGAAA